CGTGTATGTGAATAATACTCCTTCCTTGTGATGAACTGATATTCTGTCCATGGTATCTCCTGACTTTCCTGTCCTCCCTGGTAGGAATAACTCTCACCATGACCCTGTTATGGGAAATGGATGGACAGATGTATGTGTAACTTACATGTTATTATAATAGTGAGGTTACATGTTACAAGCTGCCTGCAACCCTACTCAAGAGAAGGAAGTGGAAGATGGATGGATGTTACAAGTGTGCTAAGATTTAGAATAACATGTGAAGTTATAAAATTGATACATAATGCAAACGTGACATTTTATTAGTTAAGTAAGCTGCAGATCAAACCTGTTGTACCACTCCCACAGAACATCATCTAAAACAAACAACGTAAGCTGCTCAGGGCACTTCCACATGCGTTTAGTTTATAACAGAGTAGTTTGTAATGCTGTTACGATAATATATACCGGTGTTTCCCAATCCAGTCCTTGGGGACCATAGTCGGTCCACATTTTTGCTCCCACAGAGCTTCCTGCCAGACAGTCCACATTTTTGCTCCCTCCGAGGGGGTCCTCGGGGACCACATGGGGAAACACCGATATATATACTACAATACATTTTTTCACATAGCTCCCCTTAGCCCATCTGTCAGACCAGTATCACAGCAGTTTGAAACTAGCACATTCTGGGCGATTCAGGAATCCTAACAGGTTTCTTTTGGTTACATTTCAAAGGTTGATGGAGACACGGTGGCCACGATGAGAGCAGATGAAGAAAAGATTCCTAGTTCTGTCGATCACAGAACTAAACGCCCATTAATCCCACGGAGATCCAGTGGGTGATGTGGTGCATTTGCTTATGCCAGTCGCTGAATGTTGTTCTGCACCAGTAAAAAGTCTCTTTGCATTCCTAATTAAAGTGTGAGACGCTTTGCTGGAACTGTGCAAGGTCTGAGGTCAAAGCTTCAATCTGATGAACTCATATAGACTCACACGCACCTATCCCACCGCAAGCTGAATCAACAGAACTGAAAATATTCCATTCACATCTTGTGGCTGGTCTGTAGCAAGCTTTCACCTTAGTGCCTTCAGGTGCATTCCAGAATGTATAACTATTAGAAACACATTAAAAGCCGTCCTGTTGAGTGTTTACCTGCATTGCACTGCTACAAATATACTGAGTGCTTCATGGGAAAAAAATACCATAGCAACACTCAGGCACTGATTCAGTCACACTGGCATGACAGCTGTGCCTGCATGAGCAGCCTTTATGCACATACTGTATGACTCAATGTCAAAAAGGCACCATTACAGTGTGCTGCTAAATCACCCTGCGACCAGTGACAACATGGATGGTGACACGTGTATGGCATCGCAGCTGCAGGATATCAAGCTAGGCTTACTTTCTAATTTTACTAGTCTTTACTAGTCTTACTTACTAATATTGTGTATTTCTCCATAAGAGAAAAAAATAATAAATAAATAGTTCAATAACTGGTAGCAGTTTAAACAGTTTAAGGGAAATATTGTTTAAGGATATAAATGGAAATGTATAATTATAAATAAGATGTTATAAATTTAAACAGGGTATAAGGATAGCAAAATATTTTAGTGAATCATCTTTGACAACATTACAAAACTGCATTTGGTGACATTTTGTAGTGATTAATTTGTCACTATACCATCACCAATGACCAATGAATGACAGGATCATATTTTGACTCTGTACTGTTCTTCACTGAATCCAGATCAGACTGTAAGGCTACAGGATATTTGTGCTGAAACCAGTTATTCGTGTCCTGGGATTGCTTGATAATACGTATAGTTACACTAGATAAATATTGTGATTCTTTTCTCAGTATTACACAGCACACGGTTCATTCTGCCAATTATTACCATTGCTGAGCATGTTGTTCAGCTTGGATAAAGTACAAACAAGAACTGTTATAAAATACGTTGTGCTTAAGATTTTAACTTCATTATCAGTTTGTAGGGACCAGCAGGTTTCATCACAATATCAGCCAAACATGTGTAGGGTCAATGTTAAGTCCACTGTAGACCAATGTGATATTCAAGTACATTTCAAGATTTATTGCCCAAAAATTCAGGCATCATGACTCATAACCTGCCAACTAAATCACAAAAATATCTATGAGAACCTCCCAGGAGAATCGCTGAAAAGTCCTGAGGCTCCTAAGGGAGCAGTCGAGCGTAGGTGGGTTGGGGGTGCAGCACTGTCAGGCAGGGGGCCAAACAGCAACTTATTTAAAAACCATAATAAGACAGAAGTCCAGCTTGAAAACTGGGGAGACAAATCTGCTTCGTCACTGAACTCACAAATCCACGATAAAGTCACTTCACAGAATCTCAGTCTAGATGCCAACAAAACTTACCTGCCGTTCATGGAATCCAAAAATACCCCGCTCCCCAAAAAAACGTCCAAAAAAATACATTAAACCTCAAATTCTTAGTTTACTTTAAAAATCTGTCTGTTTAGAGGAACATCACTCAGAGATGAAAGCGGACATTCATTCATATATTTATAAATATATGCAGTGATTTTTTTCCATTTTCAACACTTGCCTAAAAAACACCATATTCACACAGAATTACCGAAAGAGAACATCACGCTACAGGCAATGAATGATGCAAAACGGCATTTGCTGGCAACTCCATGTGTTACATCGAGACACATTCAGAACACCATATTGCACAAGACATCAAATAGAATTCTACATTCATTTTGCTCAGTTTGGTGCATTTGGGTAAAAAACTGTATCTAGTCCAGAGCACACTATGGATTTCCTATGGTTCGAATCCAGAAAGGTAAACGGATGCATATATTAGGAAATCCGCAGAGGTTTATGACCTGTGACTCAGATTGCGGTTCACATCAAAGCCCCATCATACACAAACTGTGGGCCAGACACACTGCAGTCAAAGGGCAGAGCTGGCAGCTTATTCTCCGGCAAAAACGAGGGCTTCAGCTGCCCAGAGGAGCCTGGCTGCAGACAGCATTCACACCTAATACAAACCTCCCCTGATGCCTACATGTTCCTGGTTGCCAAATGTGCAATATGCACCGCTTATCCAATTAGTGCTGCCCTCTCAACATGGCAAGGCGTGAACAGTGCAGAGTAAGGATAACCACCACTGAGAGGGTAATATAAACGAGGGAGGGAGGATAAGGAATGGGTTGTGTTATTCTATCATTTTATAACAGATATTTACAAATGCGCTACCTTCTGTTTAGGATACTATGCAAGTTCCGGACAGCCTCTGAATTTTCCATTAAAAGGCTGGTATGCAAACAAAAATTCGGCATCCGTCCATCCACACGTTTTCTAATCTCTTGTGAGAGTCGCCATGGTACTAGAACAGCTATGAGTAATATGATGTTCTGTACTGTGTTACAACAATTTCATTTTGTATGTGTAGAGCTGTTAATTATCTCACATGCAAACACTCACACACTGGTCATACTCTGTATTTTCAGGTAGTAGGGATTCGCAGTGACTTTGAAAACTGGATAGTCTTTTAGACCACTCTGCAAGTCGAGATTGTTGTATAAACTTAAACTGTCATATATAATCAGCAGTGCCGCTATATGGTTGCCTATGCATTAAGTTGCTCATCAGACTTGCAAATCTGAAGAGGTGCTGCTTTTTTTACTACAGGACACAACCCAATATGCAACTTTTCCAAATGTAATCATTTAGTAATTTAGAAATAAAACAGCTCCCCCAGGATACAGTTCTGTTTTTGGCATAACATCTCTGGCCCAATGTACATATAAAACTTTTTAGTTTTCAACACAGTCTAAAATTCTGTAAGTCATATAAAATGTGTACATGATTTATTTTCTATTACTGTATAGACAAAAAGAACAATTTAAATGTGATATTTTCTATGAAGGCATCTTGCTGTTTTTGAATAAATGTTTAAATGTTTACAGTAAGTAGCAAGAGGCAAAAACAAGAAAACGGTGTTTATATTAACCTTAGCTCGTTCACGGTAACCATTCAGCGCCGTAATTCTTTATTTACTGTCAATCATATTACGGTTTTACGACGTAGTGTGTACTTAGTCCGCAGAAATCTTCATATGGAGCGAAACATTCATTGTATTACGCTGTGCATGTGTCACACTGCATGCACAGTAAGTTGAGACTCATGCGATTTATGCAGAAGGTGCAGCATTCATTCTCCCTGCCTTGCCCATGTTGTGATGCTACACCTGACTGTGCACCTGTTCATTCTGACGGGGTTGCTTTGCTTCCTTTCCTTTCAAGTGTAAATGCATCGTTGATATTTTAAATACTAGTGCCATGGCATCATATACAAATGTTGTCCTTAAAAGACTTGTAATTTTCAGTTTCCCCTGACCAATCGATTACTTGACGTATACGTACCAAACGTATAACATGAAGTCTGTTATTTAAATGCCTGCCGCACACTGACCATCGGCATGGGAATTTAATCTATAAGCGACATATTCCATACAGATACAGACGGGCATAAAACGCCAGATCTCGGTATATGAAGCTCACGGCGTTATGACTCAGCCCCCCGATAGCGCTGCATGTTTGCACAGAGGCTGCATGGAATGACGCATGTCTGCCGTCCAGATGCTCCGGAGCTCAATGAATCCGCAGAATACTAAGCAAAGGCGATCGTTTGCAGTCTTCTGCTGGACTGAAGTAAGTGTGACAACACATTTATTAATAGGATTTTTTACTGACGTTTTCATGACCAATGCTAGATCGTTTTGTTTGCAACTGGAACCCAAACACTTCATAGATTCACTGAGCAGCATGCATCCGTTTCACATCACAGTCTCATTAGTAGCATCAAAACGAGCGATTGGTCCTTGAACTCCACACAACTACATACAAATCTTTATTTTCCGACTAATAAGTATTCAGTCGCACTCCCGGACAGGAACGTGAGTGAACTTTTAATTGATGCAAGACGACACTGTAGCAAATCCCCGCTTCTCACAAAAGCGACGGTTCAAATACTCACAGACTGAGAAATTTCAGACGCTTCCAAAGCAGCGCATCGTTGGTTTGCAGGAGTTTAAAGTGTTTTTTTCCAAAGCTGATTCCTGCTTGTCCTTCCTTCCTTCCAGTCGGCGCTTAGACGCAGTAACTGCGTCACTGCACTAGTTTGGTATTCTGCTGGTAACAGGACTTTCATCCCTTATAGAAGAGATTAGGCGCTCTTTGGTTACTTTTCAGGACAGATCCCGTGAATGAGCTTGAGAAATGCACACGCAGGTATTATTCGTATGCATTTTTGTTTAAGCTTATCAGAAATAAAACGTGAAACGCGTTCCCTTGCATTATCATTGTGGAACTTGCTGCACTGTAGTATATGCAGGTTCTATAGCCTACTGAGAACAGATATAACGCTAATTATGTCCCGTGTGCTCGTAGAAATTTTGAAGTAACCGAAAAAATAAACTGGCATTCACATTCAACAGTGTTAACACAAATATTTATTTGTAAATTATTAATCATAGCAGTCATTTGGAAATTGAAGACTGAGAACCGTACTAACAAAGGTCAGACAGCTTACATCGTTTTAGGCAATTTTAATTAAACCATTTTCCAAGCAATGTCCAGCCAATCACTGTTTTTTATGACATATATGAAGGAGTAACGATTTTACCATCAAACAATTACAAAACACAGAAAATACTGGAAAAATATGGGTGCATACATAAAAGCCCCCCAAAGCATGAAACAATTAAAGTACTGAACATAGAATGTTTTTTTTAAAATGTAAATAATCCTTAAAAATAATTTCTAAAAAACAATTAAAAGAAAGATCTCATTTAAAATAGATTTGTGTGGTAAAAGCAGTGCACTTGGTCGTCTTTTAAAAGACATCGTTAAAATAGGGAGCTCTACACAAACAGAAAGAGCTCCAGCTCCTTGGAATGTAGGTGCTGGGCCAGGTTTTTTATACGGCAGAGGCGCACGTTCTGCGAGTCCCCGGCGTTGTAGACTCTGTAGATGTGGTATCTCTCCTTCTCCTTCAGAGCCAGATCCAGCTCATTGGCAGAGAGGCGGATGAAGTGTTTCTCAGACTTCACGGTAGACTTGACCTCCACAAAGACCTCATGAAGGCCAGAGTCCTCTGTACTGAAGGTGACTTTGAAGTCGAACGGCTGGCCACCTTCTCCCTCGCGGTTGTACCACATGATGTCTTTGGGGCCACTGGGACTCCCACTTTCTTTCCAGTGTGTGAGGAAGGCATTGACCAGCAGCTCTCCCCACTCCCCAATCTCCCGGTTGTCTGATTTATCTTCAGGGAACTCTACCGTGTTGGGCCGGGAACAGTCCAAAACCAGGTCTTCCAGTACACTCTCTGGTGGTAACGGATTTGACCAGACTGGAGTATCCAGAGCCATGGGGCCACGTTCGATAGCCCCATTTCCCTGGAAAACTCTGGAACCTGCACCTCCGTGTTCTGGTGGTTTATCTGTAGATGTGTTTCTGGACACAGGACAAGAGCGAGTCAGGGCAAGTAAGAGTGCATTCCATAAGTCTGGGTTAAAATGTCAGCTAGATCTAGAAATATGCAGTGCCATTTCTGAAAGGTCAGGTCCAAAGCAGACTGCTGTGTAAACTCTCAAGATGAGAGGACAGTTAAAAGTTGCTTACTTGGTTGAGAGGGCTGCATGCTGCTCCGGAGAAGTGGCATCATGGGTAGGTTTCCTGGATTCCCGCGTAACCAACTTGGGCTTCGTTCCTTCATCGTGACTTTCACTGGCTTCTGGCGGCTGAGCGTTAGCAGGTTGGGCCGCCGGCGTGCTGGCCTCACTGCTTTTGTCTGACAACAACACAAACAACTGTCAACAACCACAGCTCCTCGCTATGTTCTGCAGTAATGAAAATAAAATTCTCAATGAACTCAAAAATAGGGCCTGCTTTAACACACTGCATGGTCGCTTTATTGGAGACAAAATCTTTCAGAAAACGTGTTTCGGTAAAAATTTGGTTTTCAGTTAAGGACGATATATTTTTATGCAATTTGGAGGGAAGTGTTGGTGCACCAAGACCAACCTGTAGACTGCGAGGTGCTTGTGCTGGAGCCCGGCTGGAAGTGACTCTGTCCTTTCTGTGAATGAGGCCCTTCTCTGTTGTCGTGGCGGCTGTGACCTTCTGCACTCGCACCGTCACTGGATTTGGGTGGGGCTGGAGGGGGCCACATCTTCATCACAGACTCCACGACGGACCCTGCACTGGCTGAAGCACATAGTCCACAAAATCTGAATGACACACCATGGTTTCTTTAGCTTTTATAACAGATAGCATTAACTACCACCACTCATATATGAAAAATCTAGATAAAATATTATTTTGCCTCTATAATAACAGTCCTGACGATACACAGAGATTATTTCACCTATGGAGTTTAACTGCAACAAAATCCAAAGAAATTAGCTAGCATTTAAAGATGTGTGAATGTTGCCTAGTAACAAAAACAGTTAATAACTGATGTGTTTTATGGAAGAATGTAAACAAACCTTTTTGTAATCCTGTATATTACATAAATGGATACAATGCTGAACACTGCTACATTAATGTTGGACTTGCAAACCACATACTATCCTTCTTTTTGGAGAAATTGATTGACTTCTCATGTGCCCAGTGATAGGGAGATATGAAAAGGGGCAGATAAAAATTGATAATATAGCCAATAGGACAGGACAAAGTTGAAATCACCTTATGTTACCAATCATTAATTAAAAAGTGCATTTACCAGCAGCCTGAAATAGATTCCCTCTGAAGGGGATTGTGAAGTTCATTCATAGCACTGTTTTTCTATCCCTGACTTCAGCATTTGCAAACTCAGTATTCTTGTCACCTCCCTGTTTCTAACACCCTGAAATCTTACCTGTGTGTGACCCTGGATTTTTATGAAGAGAAGCCTTGGGAGGCCAACATGCCAGCGTATCTTCTCCATCTGTCTGCTCAACCTTACGTTGCTCCTCCACGATGCTTGGTGCTTGGCCGAACATTGAGCCAGCGAAGACTGTGGGTTTGCAGAATGCACTCAGTTTAACTATCAGGATCTTCTCCCCAAGTAGATGGGTGCAGATAGCAGAATACCGCATTTACATGTAAATGATAAAGATACCTGTAACTCCATTTTAAGTCTTAAATATCAAAATATTGTGAAATAAATTATATTTTGTGACGAGAACACAAGTTTTTCAGTTGACACTGATTTTAAGATTTAGAAAGAAACTTAAACCTGAAATACAATCTGGGTGTGGGGCAGATTACAGGTTACATGTGTACCTACGGCACCTACAGTTTTTTTGGTATCCAAGGTGGTGCTCAGCCTGGGACTTACCCAGAGGTTCAGGTTTAATCTCCAAGGGTTGTGGAACCTCCCACTTCTCCTCAGAGCCTGGCAGCTCTTTAATGTCCCACCTCTGCAGGAACCTTTTCAAGTCCCCTTCATCCTGTTTGCAAAACACAAGACTTTCCGTGGAACATTTTTTGTTTGTTTGTTTTCGTTTAGGCAGAAACACACAATGTTTTAGTTTGAAACAGGCTCTACTGATAGACGATGTTAAGGCAAAAACACGAACAGCATGATGTGACTGTGACATGTTTATAAGTCTACGAAGCTAATGAATACATATCTTTTAAAATGATATCATTCACATCTGTCTGAATGGGTAAGACCCCCAGCTTCTGAAGGCTTTAAACGATTGTTTAAGAGAAGGAGCGGGAGAACGCCACGGGAATTAAAGCACACAATTTAAATTTCTGGCAGATTCCTAAAACAAATACTCTAAAATGGGGGTGGATACAAAAAAAAAAAATATCATCTCAACTTAAAAAATATTGCTTTTAATTACAGAGCTGCTGGCCTGATTACCATTCTCTATTTGAATGCACCGCTTGATCAATTCCTTTGAAAATAAAATAATGAGCTTCCAGGGTTCCTCCCTGAAAGTGGCCCGACGGTGCGTAACATAAACAGGGAGGTGCTGCAGCACCCTAAGAGCAGATGTCCGTGCAGCGCTCATGCATGCAGCATACATACAGCTTTACGCTTCCTCCTCATTCGCACAGGAAACCGAACGCTGAAACAAACAGAAAAATACAATATCCAAAAACAAAAAAAGCGACTATCTGCACTTTCAAACTCTTTGAACTGTAATCCAGCATACTCTGAAAAAGGTTTCTGCAATTTTTATTCACGTCTGCAACATGAAAACCTACAGGTGAAAGCAAAGAGCTTCACACAGTAGGTGCAGCTGTCACTGCCTGCTAGCTTTGGTACATAAAAATGTCACGAGGTCTAAATATGGCACAGGTCAAGTATGATTGATTTAAACTGCAGTTATTGCCTCTTTTTGCAACCCGATTTGATGTTGTGTTCGCCCAGAGAACTTTACCCCGCTCAAAGGCGTAGGTCAGGCTAAGTCAACATCTCTGCAAGACCACGTTAATACAAGCATCTGAGAATTCAATATACTGCTTCAATGTATAAGGGGCTGGGGAAAAAAGGGCAGAAGACCACTATCGCAGCAGAAATAAATTCAAGCCGCAGTACCCAGAGAGTCGGGTCCTGATATGAGATTCTGCTCATATCCCAGATGGGCTCTGCATGCCCAAAGTTCAGAGCTCACGGCATCACGAATCCCAGTATGCAGTAAGAGCCCGTGCATGTCCTACAGGCAGCAGCACGATGAGGAGATGGCAGGGCGTTACATCAGAGTGCCGCTCACCCACGCAGTACAAGACATGTGCATTAGCTTTGTTCAAGTTTAGCATATTGCACAGGTTTTTTTCTTTTTAATTTCATTATTCGTGCCAAGAACTTGGAAAATAATTATGAAGTTTTGTTTTTTAACTGTTATGCTTATTAGTTGTAATTCATTTTCTAGTTGAAGAATAAGGACTAATATGAGGACTGAAGTAGACAAAGGGTAGAGAGGCACACCTCCATCCCACTTACATCCAGCTTGGAGATGAGTCCCTCCAGGAAGTCCTGCAGTTCCTTCCCATTGCTGCTCTCAGTGCTGAAGAGCTTCACCAGCTCCCTGTAACAGACAGCAGCATGGTCAGGGGATACACCTCTGTCTGGCTGCTGCCAGGCGCTTGTGGAAGGGGGTGTGTGCTTCTGTGGGTGAAGGTGGTAGGATCAGCTACATAAATATAAAATAAATGGCAGAGTGAGACTCCTCCGCCTCGCCACAGCAGCACCGCCACACACGTAACGCCACAAACTGCAGAGCAGCATATGCCATTACTAACGCAGGTCCCGGGGAGCTCGGCATTCTGTGGAAGATGAGCATTAATGCGGAGGCCTGTACTCTGCTGTGCTGTGCTCTGAAATATGGGACGTTTATCAGCCTCACTTAACCTTGCAAATGATGCTTCATGTTTCATACTTGCCATAATGTTACCTTTTGAGAGCTTTCTGGGTCACTCTTAGACATTCATTTAAATAAGGGAAATGGAGGCTAAGTAGGAGGGCTGTGGTTGTAAATCCCACATGCTGCTGTGCAGCCCCCAGCGGGCTGACAGACACAGCCCGACTCTCCCTGTCTGTAGGCTTCTTCCAAACCCAAACAAACCCAAAAAACAGAGAGCGCTCTTAATACTCTTGATTTACAATTTCCACTGAAATCCCAGCTCCACTCTAACCATCTAGGGTTGCCAACTTTCTCAAGCCCCAAATGAGGGACACTTTCTTGCAGGTACGCGGGCAGAGCAGCTGACCAACAATAATGGAAATCGCAAGGTTTCATACTAGAAATCTACACATTTCACAGTGTAAAAGGACAAGCCACTACTGTACTTGCTCCTTTTCTTGAAATAGCAACTATAGCTGTGATTGGAATACGGGACTGGAGCTGCCCCTGAAGGGACAAATCAAAATGTCCCGGACAATTCGGGATGGTTGGCAACCCTATAACCATCCCACCCCAAAAGGGCTCTAATGGTCCCTACATCAGCAACATCAAAATTGTAACAGCAGTAACTAGAAACATGCAAGGCTGCCTGATAGCAACATGACATCTTGGGTGTCCATGACCTTTACCATATGCAAAGTAGAAAACCTTTTAAGACAATTAAAATATATATCGGAATGCTGTTAATGAAAAAAAACATGACATAAACATTCATATCCTGTACCTTCACGTCTGCTGCTAATCGCTAACTGCTAACAGCAGGAGAATGTAACATATACGTTATTATGGACATTTAAAGGAACTTTAAATGGCCCAGTTCAAGGCTTTGGTGCATTATCTGCTAGCCGATCAGCTGTTCTACGCTGTTCTGGACACCAAGAAGCGACTGGAACCATGGTGACAGAGTATCAGGTGGCCTGGGTATCTCAGCAGGCTTCCCGTCAGGCATGAAAATCCATCACTTTTATTGGCAGCATCAAGGGGACACAGTCTGCCTTCGAGGCTTGTAGACAGAGATGGCAGACACCATGGACAGATTTTACTTATGAAACTAAAAAACAAATCAAAGTGAAGAAAGAAACCCCTTGTTAGCATAATTAGCCATTTATCATACTTAAACAGAAGCTCAGTTTTTGGCAGATTAAGTAATTTATTTGTCATTTGTTAATGACTGATAGCAAAACCAACCAGATTCTGTTTTTCTTTGCAACTACTAAAATATCCCAAAGTATTTAGACGATGCAAAGTAGAAAACCTTTTAAGATAATTGACATATATGTAGGAATGTCTGTAGTGAGAGTAGGGAGTAGGTGTAGTAGACTATGGAGAGGTGTAGACACGCTCTAGAGAGGAGAGAAATCAAGGTCAGTAGGATGAGACAGAATACACGTGTGTAGATGAGAAGAAGGAGAGCAGAAGGGTGAGGATGCAGGGAGTAGAGCTGATGAAGGTGGAGGAGTTTAAATACTTTGGGATCAACAGTTCAGAGTAACAGAGAGTATGGAAGAGAGGTGAAGAAGAGGGGGCAGGCAGGGTGGAGTGGGAGTAGAGTGGCAAGAGTGATTTGTGATAGGCAGGTATCAGTAAGAGTGAAGGGGAAGATCTACAAGGTGGTAGTGAGACCAGTGATATGAGCTGGAGATGGTGGCACTAACGAAAAGAAAGGAGGCAGAGCTGGGGATGGTAGAGTGAAAGATGGAGAGGAGGCAGGTGTGAAAGAGGAAGGTCTAAGAGGAGGATTATGGATGTGGTGAGAGAGGACATGCAGTATGAATGTTGTTAAAGAGGAAAAACATCACAGAAACATTCAGTCAGTACTGAAATATGAAAAGAATGAACAATTTATACAGTATCATAAATGTATAAATACTATAATTGTATAATTTTATATATACATTTTCTAAGGTTAATAATTCTTCAAGAGGTGAGCCAAATTATTATATTTTAAGGTGGGTCGACATGATTTAATAAATAAAGAATTTAGGCAGATCATAGTCTCGTGTTAAGCACCCTGGGATCTTCAATGACCTGTTTTTGACATCTCAGAAAGATCCCCTGCAGTACACAGTCCCTACTAGGCTTTTGGTATTTTATTTAGTCCAAAGGAAAGCACGCCCCCTACTGGACCTCCAACCCTACTTCAAGCAAAGGCTCAGTGATGGCCAAGCCCACCCCTTCCGAGACTCATGTGTGACAGATTAGAGTGACTGCTTAAGGAAATATTTAAATGGTAAACACTGTTTGAGAAGAAGAGCATACAGTGGTGGGGAAACAAAACATAGCTGGATTGAATCTCCCCATTAGAAACCATGCCACTAAGTAAAACTCACAACATTTATATTTCTTCATTCAGTAGATGATTGTGTGACCCGACATTAGGCATGTAACGATGAATCGCGAATCGGTTAAAAATCGATGTAAACCGATTTAAACCGGCTGTGGAAAACGAATCGCTACTTTAGGAGTACTTCACAGTACTTTACTTAACAGAAAAACTGGTGTAATATTACATTTGATTTCACAACGTCAGTTCGACGTCAGATGTCACTGCTTATTCACGTCGACGTCATACATTAGTTTTTGGTTTTGACCGAACGCGAGATGGCGAGCGAATTTGAAACTGAGGACGAACCACCCGATCTGAAATCGGCAGTGTGGCAACATTTTAGCTTTCCGGCAATCGCAAACGAAAACGGCGAGAAAAGCACAGAGAAGACAAACACTGCATGCAAACATTGTAAAAGACTGATAACAAACACAAATAGCACAACGAAAATGCTTCAGCATGTCCACTGGCACCACAGTGAGCTCAATTCACCAGAGCCAGAGCGGAGATTATTAAAAGGGCAAACCACGCTAAAAAGCTGCACATGCACGCCTTAGTTTATAACAAACATTACGTGATTATACAATTATAATGTTTGTTATTATTATATAATGTTTGTTATTAATGTATATTACATCTGTTAAAGGATGTTAGGATGTAAAGGTATACATGCATGATGTTTATGAATATTTCTGAATACTTAATGAACACATTATGAAGGTGTACTGAACGTTTTATGAATGCAATATAAAACCATTATGAAGGTGCAGTTAATGTAAAGCGTTACCGTTTATTTACTGTTTGATTTATTTAGATTTTAAACAGTATTTTATTCAATTTCAGTTGCACTGTTAAGAAGAGGACACATTTTGCATAGTTTAAAAAGATAAAGAAATATTTTTGAATAAATATGTCTGCAGCTCATTCAATTAAAAAATCATGAGGAAATCGTACCGTGAACTCAGAATCGTGAATCGTATCGAATCGTGAGTTGAGTATATCGTTACATCCCTACCCGACATGTAGTCTTTATGGGCAAATATGAAACCAGAAACTTCAATTAACAGTACAGATGCATTTCATGTTCAAATCTTTTACCTACAGATCCATATGGTCAGTGAAACATATCTGCAGTATGCAATTATCATAGATAAAATGTATTTATGTAAAGAGGTATAACTAATATTTAGCAAAATATGACTTCAAGCCAGGATGTAAGGAGAGCAAAGGCCAAAATCTCACCTGCAGATATCTAACTTAGTGGAGAGATGGTCCTTCTGGATGTACAACTCTTTTTTGTCCTTCAGAAGGCAGATGGCGTCTTCCTTTTCAAAAATGGGTTCCTCGTTGGGTATACTCAGCTGATACTGGATGTAAAGTTTACCCACCTGTTCAAACAAGAGCGCAGGAAGAAACAATGCGGATAAACAACAACTAACTGTGGCTTTCACTCTGTGCATGCATGTTGGTTAATACTGTGGTGAAAGTCCCTCACTGCTAGAGCATCTCTCAAGAATCTTCCATGCACACACACCCCCCCTCCGAGCCTCAAGCGTGGGCTTCACAGCAGCAGTTCAGGTAACGTGCCTCGTTGGAGTCGCACAAAAGAGGCTTCATTATGGCCACAGACTCACGGGGCCTGAATTAATTAACAATGACAGTCTTCCTTAGATGACTGGTTATTATAAAAAACAGAATTACAGAATAATAAAGGTCTGCCTTTAATTCCCTCCTAGTTTCTCCTCCTGCTTTCAAGCGTAGCGGTAATGCAGGACATCTTCATGAAAAATCACAAAGTCTGTTCTACTGCCTTGTCATCATCAAGGTTTCCTTCAGTAAAGTACATCTCCTATCACATTACGGATACCAACCAAAATTTTTTCTATAATTATGTATTACGTAAAAGTTGCATAAAAGGGGAAAAATATATAATTTTTTTCTGTATTTTTCCCTTCTGTTGTCATGGACAGTTTTCCAGTTTATTTAAAGGAAACAGCAGGCAGTAGAAAAGCGGCATATTAACCACAGATTTACGAGCCTCACAGAGACAGGCGGGATTAAACAGGGCCGTGACGTTTCGGACAGCAGCCTCGCCAGACCTCACTTCCTCACACAGCTGCACACCACACTTGAAAGACAAGGAAAACAGGGAGGTCTCTAACCAGATTAGCAGACAACGTACCGGCGGGCTGACATGTGAAGGAAGCTAGGAAGACGGGGGCTCTGCAGAAAGAGAACCATCAGCAAAACGCCGTTACCAGGCTTTCACGCCTACAAGCAGCGTAGCCTAAGCCAGCTTTCAAAGAGCAGCACTGGAACAGTTTGTCTCCACTTAAAATGCACGGGGGTGGGGGGGGGAGGGGTGCTTATGGTTCACCATAATCCCGTCCAGGCAGACAGGAGCCACCAGAGAGAGCAGGACGCCATCCGGCCGCCGCTCACATTCATGCTCATTCTTGCCTATGACATTGTGTCTAGCTCATTTGGAGGCTTTGAGTTTCATCCAACTGCAGAGCCGAGCCGTGACAATTAATATGGGCCAGCGGGCAGTTCTACATGTTATGCAATACAGAAAAGGGAAGGAAAACCCACTGTAGCCTGTATGTCTTTAAACCTGGAAGATTTACCTTCTATGATTTCTAAAGCATTTTTTGTGATATAAAGCAAATATTAATCAAAGATGTGAATACTGGTTGTTACAGTAAAATCCAGTTATAACGGACTTCAAGGGACCTGGCAAAACAGTCCATTATATCGAGAGGTTCTTTATGCCCAGAACACAACTACAGGACACCATTTACTCATGCCACACCCCAGCACACACACACCTGTGGTATAGATTATTATATTGTACATGTAGTAATCCAACTTTACCTGACCAGATGCCTGACTATTAATAATCCCGACTACGTACGTATCTGCGCTGTATATCACCGGCACGCCACGCACCTTGTAGGCGGAAATACATGTCCGTTATAGCCGAACAAAACTACAGCTAAAAGCAGCCCTGGGGACCGAATTGTTTGTCCATTCTAAGCGAAATTCCGTTATATGCGAGTCCACTATATCCGATGCTTTTTCTGCATGTTCTTAAAGGTGTACGGCCGGGACCAGCGGACCTCGTCCGTTATAGACGATATTCCGTTATAAGCAAGTCCACTATAATGGGATTTTACTGTAAATGCTGCCCTGTAGCTATCAAAACAATTAATTTTAATGTACTGAAATCTAAAGAGTTATTGATCTGTGATAATTGCGTTGCCTTTTTTGGAGGTTTAATTTTTCACGTCTTAATTTGTTTTTGTTTCAGAAAATGAGTACTCGTGGTCGGGTGTGCAGCTAAGCAGGGATGAGCGAGACTGCGCACCTGTCCGAAAGACAGCGCCTTGATCAGCTGGGCGATGCCGCCGTCCTGAAGCTCGCAGTAGGCGTTCTCCTCATGGTGGAAGAGGTACCTCTGGATATAGGGGACCAGCCTGCGGACCTCAGTCTGCAGGGCCGGGCAGGGCCTGTAATTCTCAGTTTGGGGCTCTGTGGTGATGCACTCAGACAACTTCTTCACTTTGCAGATGTTCAGGAAAAGAGCCCGATCCTGGTCACTGAATGTCACTTGTTTTTCTGTGGACATATCAGAGGAAATGTAAGAAGCACATTGACAAAGACTCTGACTATTACAAACATAAAAAAATTGCCGGCATTACAACACATCTTACTCCATGTAGTTTCACATTGAGGGATATCATCCAGATAATTCTTCATCTTCAGCTCCCACATAAACCCAATTCTGCATGTCCTGTAGCCATTTGTCGTTAAAAGTACACAGGCAAGCTAGCCTGCTGACTGTCACATATTAAACTTTCAGCCGTAGCAAAACCATTATTATTTATTAATGTGGACGGATGATTATTAAATGGCAGGTGTTCTTAACTGTTCCATCTACCGATGAAATTTAGCCGATTCTGCTTCAAATGCATGCTGCTGACTGGGGGCCCCGATAGCTGACGGTACAGTACCTTGGGCGGACCTTGTCTTGGGCTTGTTAGGAGGGGGGAGGTTGAGCAGACACACATTGCTGTACGATCTGAAGACTTTTTCCAAAGTCTTATCATCAGGGATCAGGGGGTTACGTGCTAAGGTCATCCAGCTGGTACTCTTTGTTGGAAACACCTTCTTGTCCTTCAACATTTCTGTTAGGAGAAAAAAAAACAAATGCAGGTCTTAACTGAACACAGTTAAACATGATATCCATCAACATTACAATCAAAACACCTGCCACTATCCAACACTACAAAGAATACTAAATATTGCCATTTATTTGAGATGGTATTATGTGCTTCATAAAAAATATACGTGGAAGTATCTTGCAGAAAATATCATGTAGTACTGATATGAGTTTTCAATTGTTGTACAAAAATCTCAAACTGCATTTCAATTTGCAGTGCGAAAAAAGTTACTGTTATTCTTTATTTTGCACAGTCAGCCTCATACGTACTTCACTTAAAAACATACACTGTGTACACTGAGAGCAAATCCCACTTACTGTACACTCACAGAACAACTTTTGGAACACAAATGCCCTGTTTCATAACAGTAAGTGTGAATATTTATTACTAATAAAAGACTGTACTGGTATATTCCCAGAAAAGCTGCACTCTGATATTCTGCTGTTATTCTTATTGCTGCGACAGCAGTACATATCAATGGTGCGAAAACATTTTTATTTAAGGTGCCTTAAGTAAAGTTAAAAATGGTAAATGCATGGTGAACAAAAATGCATTTGATGGACAGCAAATCCCCAAACCACTTAATTTGGAGATAAAACCTCCAGTAAAAAAGGTTCGTCTTTTTTCCAAAATCAAAAGTCATCAATAAAGTCTACACACCTAAACACTTAAACTCACCCCTGAGTGAAGAGCAGTAATTGGAGTCCAGCTGAACATCATTCTCCTGCTCTTCAGACTGTGACTTTTTGCACTTATCAGCTACAAAAACAAATGGAAATCAGACTGCTCCTTAAAAGAACGACAGTCACACAAACTGGATAACAGTTAAGAAAGAGAATCCTCACACCCAGAGATTCGCTGAACAGAGCTATTGGATTATGCAGTTATCACAGGGATGAGGAGACCTACCTAATTTGGCGAAAATGACAGAAATGTCCTGTAGAACATCGGCATTGGGGAGGAATGAACTGCAGATGACTTGGAGGAGGTCCACATACTGCTTCATAGAGGGGTTCGGCTCCACACCAAGACTCTATGAAGAGCAGTGAGCATCAATGAGCTGCAGTCATTCACAGTATATAAACACTCTGACTTTAGCGAAAATAAAATGAAAAAGGAAAGCAAGCAAGCATGGAGGAAACAGGGATGTCACTCGAAGAAGCACCTGGCGGAAGAAGTCTCGCATGCCCGTCATGTTCGTGTAGAAGGGAGCCAGCACCCTGGGCTCCTGCACCTCCTGCTCTGACTCGCGGATGCACTCCTTATACCTCCTGAACATTCCCGTAGGGTCGTTCCAGCACAAGTCTTTCAACAAGTAGAACCTGCCTGAGCTCCACTCGTCCTCCCTGAAGAAGGCATCAGGAGAAACAATGTTCTTTATGATTTTGCTACAATGTTTAATTGAACGGGAAAGGGTTTGACTAGGGTACGGCGGTATGCCATAAAAATGACAATATTTTCAGAGATTTTCACAATATCAATATTTGCCACAATATTCTAAAAATCTCAGGTGGTTTTGGGTTTTTCTGATTACAATGACCAAATTGTTTTACTAATAGTTATTGAGCATATCACTGGTATAATGATAAACTACACCAACAACAAATGGAATTTGTGTAAAAATAGTGCATTAAAACTGTTCATTATAAAAGAAAGCCAGTGTTTTGGCTATATCATGATACAATATTCAAATTTATGATGATATGAATGTTCATAGTCATGATACGATATTTGTTGCCCAGCCCTACTATAAATTATGAAAACTTTTGTCTTCAGAACTCATAATCATATAACAATAAATTTAACTGCCCAAAAAATAATATTCTACATATAATCACTGCTTAGCTATTGCTTAAGTGGTCTATAGTAGTGATGAGGTGCCTACATACCTCTCACACTCCACAAAGACAGCTGGAGTCTCTTGGAACAACGTCTTCAGCTTGGATCCATATAGATTTTCGAGCAAATAGCTGTAGACATTGTACACATGCTCCACAGTGGTGGTGAACCAAGCCCCCTCCAGCTCCCCAGAGTCACCGTCCACAGTCTTTGTGCACCATGTCTTCAAATGGGAGATAAGTTCATCCAGGGACACGCAGTGCTTCATTCCTATCCAAGGCCAAAGAAATATCAAAGAGGTGCACAAAACTTTGACTAAAACAGAAGATGCAACCTGTACGGGGGGGGGGGGGGGGTTGGACAAAATACCCAAAACCCCACATGCAAAAAGTATGGTAACTAAAGTAACTAAACCAAAATTATAAACACAGCGGTAAAGATAAGTCGTTTTAGGCTGAATGCCAATTAGCATAATGTGTCAGCTATAAAAAAACATCTGATAATGTGCAATTTGATATGCGAGTTTGATGCAACTATTATGATGCAATTGCAAGGAGGCCAAATAAAAAGTGCTGGTATTGCAGATGCATGGATCACGTTAACTGCGTAATTATTTAACATTTCAAGGGGAACAGTCTCAAAAAAATGGCAGCAAATACCAATCATGGACTAACCACATCAATTAAGAGTTACAGTGGTTGCAATTAAAGCTGACAGATGAAAATTTTGCAAGATATTTGCTGAAGACCACAAAAGTACAGACTCAAAAATTACCACAGAAGAATAATAATCTAGTGGAAGGACCATAAAACTTCAGCCCTTGAGCAAAGTAAAAAAGTAACATGATCCAATGAGTCATCGTTCACCCCATTTTCCTACATCCTGAGAAGTTTTACTTGGAGAAGGCTAAAGAATGCCTTCAGTTTGCAATATCTGTTGGGGCAGGCAGCCATCGTGTGGTTATAATGATTGCTCTGCCTGGTTGTATAATGGCCATCTTACAGGACCAGCCGCACCTTATGCGGACATACTATCCCTGCATGATATTTCCACATTCCAAGATGATAATTCCCCTATACAATACCAAACAAATTCAAGAGTGTTTTCATGAACACCAAAATGGAATCAAACATTTTCTATGGCCTCCCCAATCAACAGATCTAAAAACCATTAAACCTTGAGAAATTCTAGAGAGCACAGTCTAAGTGAACTTCTACCTTCTTCAGCCCCTGAAGAACTGGATGCTTTTTACCTAGAAGAAAAGTCCAATATCCCACTATTAACAGTTCAGGCCTTGTATCAAACGATGACTAGAGTTGTTCTGAAAGAACAGAGCAGCCCTACACCTTAAGTTCTTGATACTGAAGTAGGGTAGGTTTTTCCATTATTTTGTCCACCAGTTTAATGAAAACCCCATGACTGGATGTAGCAGTATGATGCAGGAAAGGGTACCTGGTCCTGAATCAGTTCTTACCTATATAGCGGGTGAATTCGCTAGGCCTCATGTGATGGATGTAATTGACATGGATTCCCAACAGGCCGTTCACCTCATCGGAGTTCAAATAGACAGAATTTGGACGCAAGTAGTTCACAGAAGGCTTGTCATGTCTGCCAGGCAGTTGTCTGAAAGCAGGCACCCAAGGAAGCTGGGTGAGGTAGTAGCAGAAAGAGGAATGGGTCTCTCTCAACTGCTGTCCATTGCTGTCTCGCACCTTGGCTTTCAGGTACTGAGAGTAGTTGTCCCTTGATTTAAAAAAGGCAGAAAAAGTACATAAGAAAATTGCAGAAATACAACATGAGAGTCCAAAATAAGACACATCCGTTCATCCATCCATCTATCTATCTTCTACACCGTTTATCCAGATCAGGGTTGTTTCGGGGGGGGGGGGGCACAGGGCTGGGGTACACCCTGCACAGGATGCCAGTCCATCATAGGGCACATTAGCGTACCCATTCAAACACACACTCATATTCAATTTAAAGATACCAATCAACCTAATTGCATCTCTTTGGACTGCGGGAAGAAACTGTAGTATACAGAGGAACCTCACACAACATGCAAATGCCACAAACAGAGAGTG